GGTCAGAGCTTGCATATTGATTGTATATTAATGACTACATTTATACTTTAATGTATATTTTGGACATTGGTGATACCTGTTACATTTGTACCTGTACAATAAAATGATTTGTATTTTAGTTGGTTGTTCTCCTCCTTCAATACTATATTATTGTTTTATTAGCCTTTTGGAAATAGGGCTTTCTGAGTGAGCGCTCTTATCTGTATATTGATTGCTTTAATCTATTGCATATGGCTGACAGCTGGGTGTGCCCACCATTTTGTTGTTAATACAAACCTTTCAGCAGAACCCTTTAATAGTGATGTCGCGAACATAAAATTTTCGGTTCGGGAACGGCGAACTTCCGCAAATGTTCGCGAACCGGTGAACCGGGCGAACCGCCATAAACTTCAATAGGCAGGCGAATTTAAAACCCACAGGGACTCTTTCTGGCCACAGTAGTGATGGAAAAGTTGTTTCAAGGGGACTAACACCTGGACTGTGGCATGCCGGAGGGGGATCCATGGCAAAACTCCCATGGAAAATTACATAGTTGATGCAGAGTCTGGTTTTAATCCATAAAGGGCATAAATCACCTAACATTCCTAAATTGTTTGGAATAACGTGCTTTAAAACATCAGGTTTGATGTTGTATTGATCAGGTAGAGTAAGGGTTACGCCCGCTTCACAGTGACAGACCAAACTCCCTGTTTAACGCACCGCAAACAACCGCAAACAGTCCATTTGCACAACCGCAAACTCTCCATTTGCAGAAGGTTGGATACCAAGCTAGCCATGTCCTGTTCCTTGTCCTCACTGATGTCATTGAAGGTCTCTTCCTCCACCCAGCCACGTACAACACCAAGGGTCCCCAAAAAGTGACAACAAGCCCCCTGGGACGCCTGCTGTGTTTGGTCTTCCACCTCCTCAAAGCCACCTTCCTCCTCTGACTCCTTTGCTTCAGACTCCTCTCTCTGCGTTGCCTCTCTCTGCGTTATTATAAGGTGTGTTAAGTAGTACTATTCCTATCAGTTTAATCCCCGTTACGTCCCCTATCAGGGGACGTGTATATGGCATCGATTTTAGGAACTGGGAGATGGAAAAAGATGCTTGGTCAGTCCTCCTTCTTCAAATTTGGGGCACTGCACGTGCAATCTAATGTGCCACCAGATAGGAGTGGTGTGTTAAGTAGTAGTATTCTTATCAGTTTAATCCCAATGTCACGACTACTAGTGTGGTCCAGCACGCAGAAACTATGTAAACATATACATAGGCAAGAAAAGGAAAATAAAAGGACAGAGCGTAAACCGGACCTTAGAATGGCCGGACTAATACGCTAGAGACAGAGAATAGTGAAAGGGAAAGCCGAGGTCAAGGAAGCCAGAAAATACACAATACAGTTTACACAAGCCAAGTCAGGGAAACCAGAATTCAGAATAACCAGGGAAAAGCCAAGATCAGGATACCAGGAAATCAGATTCACAATGATAAAGCACTCTCAGGAAGCCAGGAACAGGAAACCACGACAGGGCAAGGTACTGGGGTGAGCTAGGGATTTAAATATCACGCGGCGGGCCGGCAGCCGCGACACCCTGTTACGTCCCCCTCTTCAGGCATTTTTTAGTCGAATGTATCGCCCACTGTCAGTCCCTTCGGGATCCATCCCTCATTCATCTTAATAAAGGTGAGGTAATCTAGACTTTTTTGACCTAGGCAACTACTCTTCTCAGTGACAATACCTCCTGCTGCACTGAAGGTCCTTTCTGACAGGACACTTGAAGCGGGGCAGGCCAGAAGCTCTATCGCAAATTGAGATAGCTCAGGCCACAGGTCAAGCCTGCACACCCAGTAGTCAAGGAGTTCATCTCTTCTCAGAGTGTCGATATCTGCATTTAAGGCGAGGTAGTCTGCTACCTGTCGGTTGAGTTGTTCTCTGAGGACGGACCCCGAAGGGCTGTGGCGATGCGTAGGACTTAAAAAGCTCCGCGTGTCCTCCATCAACAACATGTCTGTAAAGCGTCCTGTCCTTGCCGGCGTAGTCGTGGGAGGAGGAGGATTACTTTCACCTCTTCCCCTGTTAGATTCCTGTTGTGCTGTGACATCACCCTTATACGCTGTGTAAAGCATACTTTTTAATTGATTTTGGAACTGCTGCATCCTTTCCGACTTGCCGTAATTCGGTAACATTTCAGGCACTTTCTGCTTATAGCAGGGGTCTAGTAGCGTGGACACCCAGTACAGGTCGTTCTCCTTCAGCCTTTTTATATGAGGGTCCCTCAACAGGCACGACAGCATGAAAGACCCCATTTGCACAAGTTTGGATCGAGCTACTCATGTCCTCGTCCTCAGTGATCTCATTGAAGGTATGTTCTTCCCCCCAGCCATGTACAACACCACGGGCACCAGATAGGTGACAACGAGCACCCTGGGATGCCTGTTGTGGTTGGTCTTCCTCCTCCTCCTCAAAGCCACATTCCTCCTCTGACTCCTCTTCCTCACAATCCTCTTCCAGCGTTGTCGCAGGTCTGGTGGTGATGGTGACCACAACTCTTCCTCTTCACGCTCATCATCGGCCTGATCCAGCACTCTTCGCAGGACACGCTCCAGGAAGAAAACAAATGGTATGATGTCGCTGATGGTGCCTTCGGTGTGACTGACTAGGTTTGTCACCTCCTCAAAAGGACGCATGAGCCTACAGGCATTGTGCATGAGCGTCCAGTAACATGGAAAAAAAATTCCCAGCTCCGCAGAGGCTGTCCTAGCACCCCGGTCATACAAATACTCGTTAACAGCTTTTTCTTGTTGGAGCAGGCGGTCGAACATTAGGAGTGTTGAATTCCAACGTGTCGGGCTGCCGCAAATCAAGCGCCTCACTGGCATGTTTTTTTGCCGCTGGATATCTGAAAAGTGCGCCATGGCCGTGTAGGAATGCCTGAAATGGCCACACACCTTCCTGGCCTGCTTCAGGACATCCTGTAAGCCTGGGTACTTATGCACAAAGCATTGTACGATCAGATTACACACATGTGCCATGCACAGCACATGTGTCAACTTGCCCAAATGCAATGCCGCCAACAAATTTCTTCCGTTGTCACAAACCACTTTGCCGATCTCCAGTTGGTGCGGAGTCAGCCACTGATCCACCTGTGCGTTCAGGGCGGACAGGAGTGCTGGTCCGGTGTGACTCTCTGCTGTCAGGCAAGTCAACCCCAAGACGGCGTGACACTGCCGTATCTGGGATGTGGAATAGTACCTGGGGAGCTTTGGGGGTGCCGTTGATGTGGAGCAAGACGCAGCAGCAGAAGAGGACTCAGCCGAGGAGGTTATTGAAGAGGATGGAGTAGGAGGAGTAGAGGAGGTGGCAGCAGGCCTGCCTGCAAGTCGTGGCGGTGTCACCAACTCCTCTGCAGAGCCACGCATTCCATGCTTGGCAGCCGTCAGCAGGTTTACCCAATGCGCAGTATAGGTGATATACCTGCCCTGACCATGCTTTGCAGACCAGGTATCAGTGGTCAGATGGACCCTTGCCCCAACACTGTGTGCCAGACATGCCATTACTTCCTTTTGCACAATCGAGTACAGGTTGGGGATTGCCTTTTGTGCAAAGAAATTTCGGCCGGGTACCTTCCACTGCGGTGTCCCAATAGCTACAAATTTTTTGAATGCCTCAGACTCCACCAGCTTGTATGGTAAAAGAGTTCAGTCAAGCCAGCTCTCAGACGCCGGGCAAGGGGGTGACTTTGTGACATTGGCTTCTTACGCTCAAACATGTCCTTGACAGACACCTGACTGTGGGCAATTGAGCAGGAACTGCTCAAGGCGAGAGACGGAGGGGCGGATGGTTGAGAGGGGACAAGGAGGACAGCAGTGGTTAACGTGGCTGAAGATGGGCAGCCTGTGGCTGCTCACTGTTTAAAAAAAAAAGGGCCCCCCCCCGGTGGGGGCCCTAAATACTAATGGGGGGGACCTATTGTCTTCCCCCGGCCCCCACCCCTGAGCGGTGGGTGGGGGCACTAAAAATACCAATATGGGGGGACCAATTGTCCCCCTCCGGCCCCCACCCCTGAGAGGTGGGTGGGGGCCCTAAAATGAACAATAAGGGCCTATTGTCCCCCCCCCGCCCCCACCCCTGTGCGGCGGGTGGGGGCCATATTGATAATGAGGCGGGGGACCTAATGCCCCCCCCCAGGCCCCACTCCTGCGCGGCGGGTGGGGGCCATATTGATAATGAGGGGGGGACCTACTGCCCCCACCCCTACGCAGCGGGTGGGGGCCAAATTGATAATGAGGGGGGACCTACTGCCCCCCCTGGCCCCCACCCCTGGGCGGCAGGTGGGGGGCCACAAAGATAATGAGGGGGGGGACCTACTGTCCTCCCCCCCCCGGCCCCCACCCCTGGGCTGCGGGTGGGGGCCCTAAGTAAATTCCCCCCCAATGTGACTAGGGGTCCCCAAGCCCCTAGTCACCCCCCCCAAATAAAAAGTCCCTACCTACCTCCCTCACCCTAAAAAATAGTGAGGGGGGAATAAAATAACTAACCTGTAAAATAAAAGTAAACTTACCATTCAACTTCTTTTTTCTCAAATCTTCATTTTTCAGCCCCAAAAAAGGCCAAATAAAAAACCATCATAACCGTCGAATTGAAAATAAAATAAAAATCCTGAGCATAAAAAAAAAAAAACCCGACGAAAAAGAAAAAACCCATCTTCACCCATGGAGGGTGAGAACACTCTGATTGGTGGGTTTAAGCCAATCACAGTGCTCTGTGTCATTTTAGACAGCGTGGGAAAATTGAACTTTCTCACGCTGTGTAAAATGACACAGAGCACTGTGATTGGATGGCTTTCAAGCCATGGAGTAAATTCAAGCCATCCAATCACAGTGCTCTGTGTCATTTTACACAGCGTGGGAAAGTTCTTTTGAATTTTCCCACGCTGTGTAAAATGACAAAGAGCACTCTGATTGGCTTAAACCCACCAATCAGAGTGTTATTAGCCTAATTGCAGTGCGTGGCAAGGCTTTATAAGCCTTCCCCCGCCCTGCAGAGATCAGTCTGCACGGAGCCCTCCATGGGTGAAGATGAATTATTTTTTTGCGCTCGGGTTTTTTCTTTTTCGTCTGTTTTTCTTCTTTTTTCTCAATTCTTCATTTTTCAGCCCCAAAAAAGGCCAAATAAAAAACCATCATAACCGTCGAATTGAAAATAAAATAAAAATCCTGAGCATAAAAAAAAAAAACCTGACGAAAAAGAAAAAACCCATCTTCACCCATGGAGGGCTCCGTGCAGACTGAGCTCTGCAGGGCGGGGGAAGGCTTATAAAGCCTTGCCACACCCTGCAATTAGGCTAAGAACACTCTGATTGGTGGGTTTAAGCCAATCACAGTGCTCTGTGTCATTTTAGACAGCGTGGGAAAATTGAACTTTCCCACGCTGTGTAAAATGACACAGAGCACTGTGATTGGATGGCTTGAAAGCCATCCAATCACAGTGCTCTGTGTCATTTTACACAGCGTGGGAAAGTTCAATTTTCCCACGCTGTGTAAAATGACACAGAGCACTGTGATTGGATGGCTTGAAATCCATCCAATCACAGTGCTCTGTGTCATTTTACACAGCGTGGGAAAATTCCAAAGAACTTTCCCACGCTGTGTAAAATGACACAGAGCACTGTGATTGGATGGCTTGAAATCCATCCAATCACTGTGCTCTGTGTCATTTTACACAGCGTGGAAAATTCCAAAGTTGCTAATGACATGAGCACTGTGATTGGATGGCTTGAAATCCATCCAATCACTGTGCTCTGTGTCATTTTACACAGCGTGGGAAAATTGAACTTTCCCACGCTGTGTAAAATGACACAGAGCACTGTGTTTGGATGGATTTCAAGCCATACAATCACAGTGCTCTGTGTCATTTTACACAACGTGACTTTCATTGGTGGGTTTAAGCCAATCAGAGTGCTCTTTGTCATTTTACACAGCGTGGGAAAATTCCAAAGAACTTTCCCACGCTGTGTAAAATGACACAGAGCACTGTGATTGGATGGCTTGAAATCCATCCAATCACTGTGCTCTGTGTCATTTTACACAGCGTGGGAAAATTCCAAAGAACTTTCCCACGCTGTGTAAAATGACACAGAGCACTGTGATTGGATGGCTTGAAATCCATCCAATCACTGTGCTCTGTGTCATTTTACACAGCGTGGGAAAATTCCAAAGAACTTTCCCACGCTGTGTAAAATGACACAGAGCACTGTGATTGGATGGCTTGAAATCCATCCAATCACTGTGCTCTGTGTCATTTTACACAGCGTGGGAAAATTGAACTTTCCCACGCTGTGTAAAATGACACAGAGCACTGTGTTTGGATGGATTTCAAGCCATACAATCACAGTGCTCTGTGTCATTTTACACAGCGTGACTTTCATTGGTGGGTTTAAGCCAATCAGAGTGCTCTTTGTCATTTTACACAGCGTGGGAAAATTCAAAAGAACTTTCCCACGCTGTGTAAAATGACACAGAGCACTGTGATTGGATGGCTTTCAAGCCATGGAGTAAATTCAAGCCATCCAATCACAGTGCTCTGTGTCATTTTACACAGCGTGGGAAAGTTCTTTTGAATTTTCCCACGCTGTGTAAAATGACAAAGAGCACTCTGATTGGCTTAAACCCACCAATCAGAGTGTTCTTAGCCTAATTGCAGTGCGTGGCAAGGCTTTATAAGCCTTCCCCCGCCCTGCAGAGCTCAGTCTGCACTGAGCCCTCCATGGGTGAAGATGGATTATTTTTTGCGCTCGGGTTTTTTCTTTTTCGTCTGTTTTTTTTTTTTTTGGCGCTCGGGATTTTTATTTTATTTTCAATTCGACGGTTATGATGGTTTTTTATTTGGCCTTTTTTGGGGCTGAAAAATGAAGATTTGAGAAAAAAGAAGACGTCGAATGGTAAGTTTACTATTTTTTAAGGTGAGGGGGGTAGATAGGGACTTTTTATTTGGGGGGGAGAATTTACTTAGGGCCCCCACCCGCAGCCCAGGGGTAGGGGCCGAGGGGGGGAGGACAGTAGGTCCCCCCCTCATTATCTTTGTGGCCTCCACCCGCCGCACAGGGGTGGGGGCCGGGGGGGAGGACAGTAGGTCCCCCCCCTCATTATCTTTATGGCCCCCACCTGCCGCCCAGGGATGGGGGCCGGGGGGGAGGACAGTTGGTCCCCCATTATCTTTATGGCCCCCACCCGCCGCCCAGGGGTGGGGGCCGGAGTGGGGGTGGACAGTAGGTCCCCCTCCATTATCAATATGGCCCCCACCCACCGCGCAGGGGTGGGGGCCGGGGGGGCAATAGTTCCCCCCTCATTATCAATATGGCCCCCACCCGCCACGCAGGGGTGGGGGCCGGGGGGGCAGTAGGTCCCCCTTTCATTATCAATATGGCCCCCACCCGCCACGCAGGGGTGGGGGTGGAGGGGACAATAGGTCCCCCCCTTATTTTTCATTTTAGGGCCCCACTCACCGCTCAGGGGTGGGGGCATAGGGGGACAATAGGTCCCCCCTTATTGTTATTAGGGCCTCGGGGGGGGACAATAGGTCCCCCCCTTATTGTTATTAGGGCCCCCACCCACCGCTCAGGGGTGGAGGCCAGGGCGGGAAGAGTAGGTCTCCTCCCCCCCCTTCAACCAGTAAGAGTCCCTGTGGGTTTTAAAATTCGCCTGGAGGAAGAAGGAGACAGAGAAGAAAGAAGAGACCAACACAGAGAGAAAAGAGGCAAGACATCAATTTAGAAGGAATTTTTAACTTAACAGAACAATCTTTTACTTCAGAACAGGCACATATTTTTAATAAAGGTCTTAAATTCGCGCCTACAGCAGATTTTAACCCTTTTAACTTTTTCGTAGATATGAATTTATTTAAAAGAAAACTATGTTTAAATTTTTTTTTTATAATAAAGAAAATAAACAACAAGAAGAACACGATGACGAATACTTCCACACACAGCTTAGGCCAAAATCACAATTTTTTCCAAGACATCTAATTTCGGATGCAATCCAAACTTTTGAAACTATGGTGATGAAGGATGTAGAAAAATTCAAGAAAACCAACAAATATAAACACAATTTATCAATAAGGGAAAAAAAGCCCTAGACGTAATTAAAAATAATGATCAATTAGTAATTAAACCCGCAGATAAGGGAGGAGGAACAGTAATTCTTAATAAAGAGTCATATATTAAAGAGGCAAATAGAATACTTTCAGATCCTCTAACTTATCAGAAATTGACACATAATCCCACTAATGCCACTGTGAAGATTTTCAAACAGTATGTGGAGAAAGGAAAAAATTTAGGAATCCTTACCGAAAAAGAAGCAAATTATTTGTGGATAGAAAACCCCAAAATACCGTTTTTTTATCTATTACCTAAAATTCATAAAAACATTACCAACCCCCCAGGAAGACCGATTATATCGGGGATAGATTCAATCTCCACTAGGATTTCCGAATATATAGATACCATCCTCCAGCCGATTGTGATAAAAAATCCAACATACCTTAAAGATACTATCCATGTTTTACAAATTTTAGAAAAAACCAAATGGATAGAGGGAAATATATTAGTAACATGTGATGTCACTGCATTATACAGTATTATACCCCATGACAAGGGAATAGCAGCAGTGAAACATTTTTTAACCAAATCTAATTTTAAAGAAGAACAAATTCAATATATTTTAGAAGGAATTTTATTAATTTTATCGCATAATTATTTTTGGTTCGAGAATACGTTTTATCTGCAAATCTGTGGGACGGCAATGGGCACCAAATTCGCCCCGAGCTACGCCAATCTTTTTATGGCATTTTGGGAAGAAACACGGGTTATCCCAGACCATGTGTGGGGGGAGAGTTTGGTGTCCTACTGCCGCTTCATAGACGACATTTTCTTCATCTGGACCGGCACTATAGAAGCTTTACACACATTTATTAATCAACTAAACATTAACGATTATGGAATCCATCTCACTTGCAATTATAGTGAATCCAATATCAACTTTTTGGATCTAAACATTAGGATCCAAGATTCTACGATAGTTACCAGCAATTATTTTAAACCAGTGGATGCCAACAGCTACATAAATATTGATAGCTGTCACCATAAACCTTGGCTCCACAATGCTCCAAAAAGTCAATTTCTAAGGATCCGCCGGAATTGCAAATTAGATAGTGACTATTTAGAGCAGGCCACCTACATCAAACAGCAATTTTTGGAAAAAGGGTATAATGAGAAATCTTTGAACCAAGATTTGGAAGAAGTTGGAAGATTGAAGAGAAACCAACTCATACAATATAAACCTAAGACAACACAGACGGACACTAATGAAGTCCCTTTTATTTGCGATTTTAATGGACAAAACAGACGCGTACATAAAATTATAAATAAACATTGGCATTTGTTAAAAGATGATCCAATTTTATTTAAAATCTTACCAACAAAACCTAGAATTACATATAGAGGAGCTAAAAATCTCAAAAATATTCTAGTTAAAAGTCATCTAAATCCTACAAAACCTAAGCACTTTATTCAAGACCTCAAAGGATTTTATGGTTGTGGTTCATGTCTCCCATGCAGAACCACTAAACAAACAAAAAGACATTTTGAAAATTTAGAAGCTCTTATTCAGAAGCCATTTACCATTAAAGATCACCTTATGTGTCATTCCAAGGGTATTGTATACATCTTACAATGTCCTTGTAATTTACTGTATGTAGGGAGAACTATTAGACCTTTAAAAGTTAGGATCGCTGAACACATATCAGGAATGGTCTGGAGACCCACAGCGTATCCCAACATTTTAAAGATGTCCACAATCAAAACCCAGAGAATCTATTTTTTTGTGCGATTAAAGAAGTAAAGAGAGATTGGAGAGGGGGTAATTATATTAAATCACTAGGTAAAGAAGAAATGAAATTTATATATACTTTTAAAACTCTTATCCCCTATGGTTTAAATTCAGATTTTGAAGTTTGCCATTTTTAATGAAGATATTCACAATATTTTTATTACAATATTAATATTAATAACCATTCAGTATTTATGTGGTATTAATAGGCTCTTTCCTATATACTTTTTTATATTCTTTTATATTGCTATGATATTACATTTTATTATTTTTATTCATATTTCATTTAAGACTTGCCCACTTCTCTACTTTGAAAGTTGCCTTATATATACATTTTTATATATAATTTTCATATTTTATCTATGGTCTCTTCCTTCCCCAGATAGATATTTGCTAGATCTATATGTGGCATGTTTTAACTGATTTTGCAATAT